AAGAAGAATGTATGCAATGTGTTAATTATTGAAACTGTCCTACCAATTTGGTTTGAAACTGTCTCATTGCTATTTGTTTATCAATAAAATTAAAAAATAAAATAAAATAAAATAAAATAAAATAAAATAAATACTAAGGGCAGGAATTAAACTCAAGTGTTATAAAATGCTAGCACTGTATAAAATGAATAAAAACATCTTGTAATAAAATACTCAAAGAACAAAGAATTGGGCAATGATTAACTTTTAAATAACCAATTATTATCAAGCTATAATTTTTAAAAAGTCTTGACCAAAAAATAAATAAATAAATAAATAAATAAAAAGTCTTAACCAAAAAAGTTTGGATAGAGATGATGAAGTAGAGACTGGCACAAAATATAGCCTCTCTGGGACTTGGAATGGAGACACTTGGAAAACATGCAAAGAAATGAGAAATATAGAAATAGACATCCAGGAATTAGGAAGAAGCATTTAACAAAAAATAGAAACTGGACAGGCTGGAGAAAATGTGCTCAATAGCGCAAAAACAATGAAGCAATTCAGGAAGCCAACCCTGGCTCTCAGAGAGAGGGACCTGTCTCAGTGGCCCAGGAGGGGTAAAGAGCTCAAAGGAGAATGAATGGACTAGGATGGCAGATTAAGTGCCAAGAAAACCCTACTACTAATGAAAACTGCATAAGAACACCATGGGATTTTACTTTGAAGGTGACTCCTTCAACCCAAGAAGCTGTAGCTACTAAAGAAATCCAGTGTAAAGCTGGCCATGTTTGAGAGGGTTTAATCAGGAGCCATTTAGGAAGGTTCACATAGGACTGAACCACAGAACAATTATACTTCAGAGTTTCTGGTGACATTCTACCACAGTGACTAAATGTGAAATAGCCACAAGAGAGTATTGGGGAGTGGGGGATAGACACAGATTCCCTCAAAAGTTTATTTTTTTTTAAATTAATTTTATTGAGAAACAAATAGCAATGTTTTTGTTTCAAAACTGATTAATAGGAGTTTCAATAATTAATACATTGCATATTGTTGTCTTCGTCGTGGTTATTCATAGTACAAGATGCAGACATGATATCCTGTCCAAACACTATTAGTACAAATCTTTCTTCTCACTGAATTAAGACAAAGTAGCTGTATATCTATCCATTTTGTATTTATAGATACAAAATAGTCCTTCATTTTTATCCCCTTTTTTTGTTTATTTTTTTCAGAGATGGGTATTCCACTGCCATTTAAATATTGTAGTGAGGACTTAGGACATAAGAAAACCTGTACTGTAACATCCTATAACTCAGTGATGTCCCAAATTTTCTGATCAAGGATATTATGGGGCCACAGAGAAAAGTGATCAACGATGCAGAATGTGCCTAAGGAGAGTCACATAGACAAAACTTTCTCCCTGAGAAATTTAAACTCAGGCAGGGAACAATTCGGCAATGGGGAGGTATCCTTGGTGAGTAGCCAAGCTCTGATCTGTGGCTTTCACAGGGGATGAATATGAAAGTGCTGGCATTGAGTTGACAGGTCTGCTTGAACCCAAGCCCCACTGTTTACATCCAACACAAAGCTCTGTGATGTTTTTGTTTTTCCCCTGACCAACAGGAGAAAGGATATGCCTTGGCTTAGAGACCCTGGGGTATAGGACACAGCGACCTCTGGAGTTAGTGGGGGCTTCACAAGCCTATAAGCCTAAAAGTAGGCAGAGAAAACTAACTTGAAGGGCAAAAAAGGGGCACCAAAAGTAAGAGTTGCTTAGTGGTTACAGCTGTAGGGACGGAACACTGATCTAACATGTCCAGAAGGAAAGGCAAAGCTGGACCGAGCTTCACACAAGAAGATATGTACACAAACAAGCAAATCAGTAACTGTAAAATGCCACAGAAACAAAACAAAAATCATCTCATCCTCTCAATATATGCAGCAAAAGCCTTTGACAAATGCAACAACCATTCATGATTAAAAAAAAAAAACTCTGAAGAAAATGGTATTAAAGGGCTTTATGTCCATGTGATAAAAGCCATTTAAAAAAAAAAAAGCCATTTTATGACAAAACTACTGCTAATATCATACTAAGTGAGAAAAAGTTGAACGCTTTCCTCTTAAAATCAGGAAGACAAAGACGCCCGCTGTCACCACACTTTTTTATTATGGTACATATTTAAGACATAGGCAAGAGCAATAAAGTGAAAAAGAAAGAAAAAGGATGTGGATAGAAAAGGAAGAAGTGAAACTATCATTATTTGGAGAACACAGGATCCCCCATATAGAAGACCCCAATAAACTTCACTAAAATACAAAAAATAGCCAAATGCAGCAATGTAGCAGGAAGCAAAATCAACAGACAAATATAAACAGAATTTATGTACACCAGTAATGAACACACTGAGAAATAAATGAGGAAAATAATAGTACAAAAGCATCAAGAAAAATTACTCAGGAATTAATATAATATAAAGAAATGAAAAACTTCTATAATGAAAACTAAAGTACTCTGAAAAAGGAAACTAACAAGTTAATCAGAAAACAGCATATTCCCTGTTCCTAGACAGGCAGAACCCATATTGTCAAAATGGCCAAATTTCCAAAACTCATAATATAGGTATAATCCAATCCCAACCAAAATATCAGCATTCCTCACATAACTAGAGAAAACAATGTTGAAATTTGTATAGAACAAGGAGAGACCCAGAGAAGCAAACCAAGTCTGGGAAACAAGATCAAAGCAAAAGACATCATAATGCTGGACTTTCAATTATATTATAAAGCCACAGTCATAAAACCGCATGCTTCTGGCACAAAAACAGGCATGTGGTTCAATGGAAGAAAACAAAGGATCGAATTAACAGTTCCAGGCACAGTCAGCCATCTGATACTCCACAAAGGGACCCAGCCCCCACCTCCCGTAAAAAAAAAGACTGGTGGAAAAGTAGCCTTTTAAAGAAATGTTGCTGGGCCAGTAAGATAGCTAAGCAGACTAAGTGCTTACTTAGGCAAGCACAAGGGCCAGGGTTCAATTCCTGACACCACATGCCATGCCAGCCTTGCCCCCCCGCCCAAGGCGCTCTGAGCTGGTGATGGAGTCCAGGCATGGTGGCACACTCCTGTAATCCCAGCATGAGAGAGGCTCAAAACAGGAGGATCATTACGAGTCTGAGCTGCATAGTGAGACCCTGCACATACATACACACAGAAAGAAAGAAAGAAAGAAAGAAAGAAAGAAAGAAAGAAAGAAAGAAAGGTTGCTGACAAAACTCATTATCTATCCAAATGGAGAAGATAATCTGGTTTCATCTCTCTCTAAACTAAAACGTATCAAAGATCTAAATATTTAAACAAAAATAATCTGTTGAAAAATAAAATGATAAAGGTTTTCAAGGCCTAGCATTAAGTCAGGACCTCAACTGCATAGGAAATAAGTGTTAAGTTAGAGTCAACAGATGAGGTTATTCAAGCTAAAATTTTCTGCACAGCAGAGGAAATATGGTGTGATGAGACATCTACAGAGTGGGAAAAAATTTTTGCAAGGTGCACCTCAGAGATAAGATTAATATCTAAAATATATAAATAACTCATAAAAATTAGATTTCCCAAACTAACAAAAAACACAATAAAAAATGAGGAAGTAAAATGAAGAGACACCTCTCAGAATAGGTACAAATAGCCAATAAATATATGAAAGAATGCTAAACACCTCTGGCCATCAGAAAAATACAAATTAAAACAATACTGAAATTGATTACATCTTCCTCGAAAAAGAATAGCTATCGCCAAGAAAACAAATAATAACAGAGGCTGGTGAGGCTGCATTGTTGGCGGGAATGTAAATAGTATAACCACTAATGAAATCAGTGTGGTGGTGACTCAGAAAACTAACACTAGAAATTACCTTTGACCCAGCTATTCTGCTTTTAGGTATCTTTCTACAAGAGATAACGACATGCTATTACAGTGATAAATGCATACTCATGTTTATCGCAGTACAACTTCTGACAGCTAAGTCTTGGAAGTGGCCTAAAGGTGAATCAGCAAATAAGTATATAGAAAAAATGGATAAAACATTTATATACATTGGAATACTATTCAAAATGAAGAATAAACTTGAGTTATTAGTAGGAAAATAGGCACACTTTGAGACTAAAATGTTAAGTGAAATACACAAGACACAAAAGCTTAAATATATCATCATTTTTCTCATGAGAAACCAAGAATATAAATAGATTAAAAAAGAAAATTTAAGATAAAAGAAAGTAGAAAAAGATACCTTTGGCATAAAGGAAGGGGATCAAGTGACGGAGGAGGATGGAGGAAGGGGATATGAAATGAATTAAGGTAAGTTACACACATGTATCACCGCCCTATGGTGAATGTAATCATTTATGTATAGCAACTATGTACTAGGAAAAATAATTTTTTTAAAAAAGTGTGGACAATGGATAATTTAAAACTAAAAGAACTTCATTTCATGGTCCCACTTGCCCTGTTCTCTATTCTTCCTATATCTCAAAGCTTCTCTTTCTACCCCATTATCTACCTCACCTTGTGATAGGCGTTAAACTCAGGGCCTTCCTAGCCTAAAGCCGCTTAGTTTCTAAAGATCAAAAAACAATTCAAAACTCTATTTCTATTTATTTCCATTGATATTATTTCATGAAAATGGCAAGAATAATATAACTACCAATTTTCAGATTATGTAAAAAATATATAAATTATAATTTTTAAGTGTGAAAGGTTAATATTCATTAAAAAGAAACATATAAAAGATAACATTCTTTTTATTCTTAAATATTCAATAAAAATAGCAAACAAAATAGCATGGCCTATCAGTATTAGATGCCAATATTATTTATCAGTATTTTTATGACATATGGTTATTTATTGGACCAAAATGATTACTAAGAAATTAAAACCTTCGAATCACTGTATCAGAAGTCATAAAAACTTTAAGTGAGGAATTATCATTAAACATTTTCTATAATAGTAAGAAATAAATGTACCTGATGTCCAGCTTTTACTTGCTTCAAAACACTTTCATAACATACTTCATCCATGTTATTCAATTGTTGCATCTTAAAATTTTGAAAACAAACCAATATGTAACTTCTACAAATATAAACTCTCTAATTAAAAATAAGTTTACCATTCATAAACTTATTTTTCAAATGTCCAAACTAACATACAAGCAACAAGTACAATATAAATATCTAAAATAAAAGAAAAGCCTTTATTAAATACAAATAAAATTCTTCAAACCAGTTTCAAAACACTACTTATGAGTGCTAAGTTTTTTAAAGATAGTATCCGTTCTTAAACAAAAAAAGTTAAAGCGCCTTGAGCTTTCCTTATAGAAGACCATTCATGAAACTGATTTTCTTCTATTTCACTCCACAAGTTATGCACTTTTCTTGCATAATTCTCAACACCACAGCTTGAATGACAAATAGTGTGAAGATTTGAAGCCTAAAGATACATACTATATCTTCAATATACAAGAAGAAGGGTACCTGAGCTCCTGAAAATTTTCAGGGTAACTGAAAACTAATAAATTGTGAAAGAAAAAAAGACCTAATTTGTCCTATTAGTGATAAGAACGCTTTTAAGCAAAATTAAAGTGCATGGTAAGCCTTAACATGTACTTCTTAACATTTATTGAGAGATTTATGAGACGTGCCATCTGTATCATGACAATGGTTTAAATTTTCTGTCATTGTTTCAATAAGGTGTATACTAAAATCCAGTAATTTTATGACTGACAGTGGCTAAGTTGGGTAAAATGATCACAGGATAATTTATTCCTACTACTGAGTTGAAAAATCAGTCCTACCTTCTCCCCTCCACAAAAATAAACCCCAGTAACTTTTTCAGGGTACTTTGGGTTGAATTGTGGCCAAAGTCACTATTTCAAATTAGACATATCTTTCACATTAATATCTCATTTTCTTATAAGTGAATGCTAGCATGAGTTTCTAAATGAAACTATGAAAAAGTCAAAGGATTTTTAAAATAATAAATAATAAAGTGGAGGCTGGCAAGATAGCTCAGCATACCAAACTGCCTGCTTAGGCAAGCACAGGGACTGGGGTTCAATCCCCTGCACAAGCTGCGCCTGCCCCACCCTTCGGGTGGGCTGAGCTGTTCAGAGTCAGGTAGGCGTAGTGGCACACGCCTGTAATCTCAGAACTGGGGAGGGTAAAAAACAGGATGAGCACTATGAGTCCAAGCTGTGTAGAGAGACTCTATAACAACCAAATACCTTAAGTAGTAGTAATAATAATAATAATAATAATAATAATAATAATAATGTAACAACTATTTATAAAACATAATAATAACATCTTAGGGAAATGCTCAATGGTTACCAACTATACATTTCAACTGAGCACAAAATCAATTTTAATGAAAGAAAAACTTTTACTTCACAAGAAGTTTACTATTTAAACTATACAGGATATGCAAATTTTAAAAAACTTTTCAGCAAATTTCTAACCAAAATAATTATGTCAGTTCATTATCTAATAATATTCCTTTGATGATCATAATGCTAGCACACTGTGATGAAAATACTTTTGAATTCAATTAGCTTTAAGTGATTTGCCTAGTTATATGATGCAATTGGAAGAAAATAAGGTTTAATATGGCTGAGAAGTGTCTGAAATAATTTTCTTCTCAATATTTCTATGATCACCATCTGCTCTCAACAGCATTATAAAATTAAAAGTAATCTAAAAAATGGTATTACATTTATATTTGTGATATGTTAACATCAACTAAAAAATCAAATACATATTGAGACATGATTGGAAAAAAACAGCAAAGAATACTGGAGAGAACTAGAAACAACTAATGAAGGTTAAAACATACACATATGTAACTATTGCTGTATTGTAAGCTATCCTTTGTGCATAAATCTGGAAAGAATCTCTACAACTGAACAGATCAGTTTTATCCAATGCACTTACTATATACTCTCAGTTGTAGTAGCAGTTATTGCTGATATTTACTAGTTGGCTATTTTACTTACATAGCCCAAGGTAAAAATGGCTTTATTTTACCAATGACTTTGGTTTTTATGCAAGAAATAAATGATATAGTAAAGACCAAATCTGACATTAAAAACACATGATTCTACCCTGTATTCTTTTTTTTTGGCAGAACCAGGAATTGAACTCAGCCCCTTGCGCTTGCCAAGGAAGCACTTATTCTGCTGAGCCATCTCCCCAGCCCAAGACCCTGCATTCTTTCAATGAATAGGTTAAAAAGACAGTGAATATTGTTCCAAAACTATTTCTTCTTCAAAATAAATATTGGTGAAAAGAGTGATAAATGATGACTTAAAACAAAAATTTCTTTCATAGTATAAACATTCTAATGGTACATGGCAGTACTATATACAGAATTAGACAAACTTTTTAAAGTATAGTATATAAATTTAGAAATATCTTTTATATACATAATATGGCAATAACAACCTTGTAAGTCAAATAGAACATCTTTCTTGTAATTCCTAGCATCAAGGAATTCAAAGGAATTGAATTCAATTTCAAAGGAATACTGCAGCAAAATATACTGGTTTAATCAGAGCTTTTATTATTTTGCAATTACCATCAAGTCAAAATAAATTTATGAAAGTTTTAACAAAAAATGAGTTGGAAATAACAATGCAAACTATTAAACGTAATTATCTGTAGGAGGACTCACTTATACTACTGCAGCTAAAAAAGTTTGCTTGATTTTGTCTAAGATGTCACATTTATAGCAATAATCAAATGATCTTCTACAATCTCTATTTAATAGTATGTCAACAAGAATAATTTTAGAAAAAAGTACAATTAATAAAATGAGCTTAAAAATGAATATTTACCTTATTAGTACTTTTAATTCCCAGAAATGTCTGTCCAAGAGGTACTGGTCGAAAACGGCCATCAAAGTAGAAAAGTCCAATGTATGGATTAACGTGTAAAAATGTAGCAACATCAAGGTAGTTGGGTAAGGTTGCAGAGAGTCCAAGTATCCTTATCATACTCTGCGTAGATTCAACCTGCACGAGTTATTTCAATCACAGGTCCAGTGTGAGCATTAATATTTCCAGAATTGCCTACCATTAAAACTGTATTATCACCTAAGCTGTCACACTGGGGATGCAGTAGTGAAAGAACACAGACCTACACAACCTACACATGAAGAGACTATTTTTAGAAGCACGAAGAGAGAAAGTAAAATTCCACAGATCAGGTGAAAATTAAAGTACAAATGCACTAGCAAGATCTTCCAATGAATTTGCTTTCACTAAAGAAATGTTACACATACCATCAAAAAAAGCCCCACTAAATCCCACCAAAGCAATACAAAATGATCACCACACCTGTAATCTAAAAAATCTCCTTCACAATATATACAGTAATTGGGATAATGATTTTAATTTTACTCTATTTCTATGCAGTGCCTGTGGTGACCTGTAAAGAAATAAAAGTAATATTTGGTTTTAAATTGTTACGTAAAACAAAATTCAAAGAGTATATTTTTAATGTCTTTGATATTAAATACATGATACCACAGAAAACATTTTTTTCTACTAAAACTCTATTGAAAAATAATACATATGTTTAAAGTATGTATTAAATAATACATATTTTTAAATCCAAAAGTATAATCTTATCTTAATATAATTAAGTCTTGTAGGAACTACTTTATTTGAAATAGGAATAGTTTTATCTCCTAGGACAAATGTTAAAGCTCTATGCACTACAGATATTTACCCAAAAAGTAATCATTATTAAACACTATAAAGACTAATAATTCATAGATTTATCCTTATCAGTATGCCAAAAACTTGATAGTATGTGTTTCACCTTGCATAAAATCTAAGTTTAGAAAAAAGGATGCTGATTAAATGAAAGCAAAGTTAGTTAAGCAAACAATTACGATTTAAAATTGCTATATAAAACAGATCAGGGACTTATAAACATTTATCTTTCCAAATTCCTTCTCATTACTAAAAGTGTTTGTAAATTTAGTCCCTAACCTAGTAAGCAATTTCAGCAAACAGCTTCAGATCAGTCTTCTACCGGAGTTTCAAATGAAGTACGATGTGAAACACTGCCATCTCCTGGGATCATCTGATAATCATAGGAAAAAAATAAAAACTGGAAGTTTACTTGATTACAAGCCCTACAGTATATACTTTGGAAATGGGGAGAAGAATCACATATATCCTTCATTCATGGAGATTAAAATCTAGAGAAGGATAAAGGTGAAGAAAGCCTTATAGCAACTTGTAAAAATATAAAGAAGACTGCTAAAAATGTTAAAGAAAGGACCATTATAAAGCACTTAACAGAAGTGGCATTTCACAGGTACAACAGAACAGAAGATTTTCAATCCAGGGATGTGTATTACAGAAAGAAAGCAATTCATAGTTTGGCATTTATAATCCATAATCTCACAACCAATAATACTTTTGCCTCCAATAAAATCTATGTCACCTGGAAAAGGAAAAAATAACATGGTTTTGTGTGGCTAGAACTGACAGATGAATACTGTAGCGAAGTTAAAATTAGACAAGGACATCATAGCTATTAATATGCAGCTTAAGGATTTAAACCTTTTTTCCTAGAACAACAAACAAGAAGTCCACAAAAGTTTATGAGCATAGTAGTGGGAAACTACATAATTATTATTGGGTTACATTATAGAGTTGAAAATGTGAGGAAACAACTAATATATAAATATGTATTTTATGTAATTCATTGTACATTAAGAGATAAGATATTTATACAATTATATCACATGCAATATGAATAAACCTGTAATATATAATTTTCAGTGATGTTAAATCTATTAGAACTTTCAATAACAGCCCTCTACTGATATGTGCCACAGGTTTGCCACCATTAGTTTAAATTATAAATTATACACAGGAAATTATACTGTTGTGCATCTATAAATAACTTACAGTATATAAAGCTGTTAAAAATTACACATGATGCATGATACTGTGTATGTGTGAGTGTACATAAATATAAAAGGGATTAGTGGCTACTCTATGATTACTTTTCACATTCTAAAGGGGATAATCGGGAAAACAAGGCATCACTGCTAAATTCCCTTGGAAATGTAAGCATGATAGATTGGCAAATGCACAAATGATATTTACTGGCCTCTAATGATCTGTTGTTGTATGAAAGCTCTTATCTGTGGAATCCTTTCAGTTGAATGAATGTGGTCTCCTAGCTGCTTTACTGCAAATAAATGTATAATGGGTAGATCATACAGCATGGTTCCCTGAAAAATGTCATTAAGCTATTTAAATATCTAGGTACTAAACCAAAACATTCCATAACCAAACTAGTGCTAGTTACATAAAAAAACAAACCTGCATACTCTCTTCTGAGAGATCTCATATTTAAAGTATAGGCCAGCAGCAGGAAAAATCTTGGACAGCAGAAACAGCAGCTTTAGGTAGTTTCTCTTAGCTCGTAAGTATTTGTATTTTTTTTTTTTTAAACCAGGAATTGAACTCATGACCTCATGCTTGCCAGGCAGGCACTGTGCTACTGAGCTATTCTACCAGCCCCAATATCTACGTTCTTGAAACTATGTTTATATTGGGTTTCAGCAAAAATCTCTGACTTTATAAATCTACTTCAATGATTTAAATCTTTTGTATTTTATATATTGCATGTACAGATATATTTTATATAGAAAAGTAAACAAATCCCCCAAATTCCCTCCATTGCTACTGTAAAAAAAAAATCTTTTTTTTGGCTTACGGCATATATACGCACCTCACTGTGCTAGTACATCTAAATGCATGCAAGAACTGTGTTTTATTTACTTCCCTATCTCAAGAACTTAGAAATATGTAGCTGGCATGTAAATGTTTAATAAATGTTCATTAACAAAAAGAAAAAAAAAGAATGTAAACACCAATACCCTGCACACCCTTCTTCACAAAAAAAGACCTATGCCACAATACAGGATAGTTTGTTTCTTCAGTGAAGAATTTAACCTGGGTATTTCTGAAACGCAGTTCAGATGGCTGTACCTCATTCTTAAATACGACAAAGTAGTATTTCACTGTAAGAATACATTATAATTTATTTAAAATTTCTTTCATTTTTAAAATTTGAAGTGTTTCCAAAAATATACATATACTTTTACAAATAGAGATTCAATAAATATTAGTACTAATGTATCTTTATGAAGTGGTGATATTATCTCCACAGGTTAGACTTCTACAACCAAAAGTAGAGGGCTAATTTTATCAGATGTTTTCCAGTTGTATTCCATTTTCATTTCTGCTAATCTGACAGATACTGATTTGGACTCCTTTTGAGCACCTTTTCTATACTTATCATTATTGTCTACTGTAAAATGTTCCTTCTGGTTTTTTAAAGTTTATTTTCCTCAAGAAGTCTATTAAATACATATAAGATTAAAGACTAATCTTACAAATTTCTATTTGCTCATTTACATTTTAACTTTTTAAGGTACTATCTTCTTTGATTAGAAAATTTTAATACTTATATGTCCAAATAGAGCATAAATTTTCTTTTTCCAAGGTAAGTATGTTGAAAGGGAGAAAACATGACATCTTAAGAACGTAAAGATTTCAAAGGTAAAAACAAGAAACAAGAAAAGGAGCTTGAGAGAGAGAGAGCAGAAAGCTAAGGGGAGAAACAAAAGGGAGGTGAAAATCAGGCCGGGGTGATAGCACAGACACAAAGAAGGAAACTAAAGAAATGTAAGGTATTAAATATCAAAAAGAAGTAATATAAAGGTTGAAATACTGAATCTGAGATCTTTCAATAACCAGTAATCCCAGTAAGTCTTATTTATGTTCAATTAATGTCCAGAGCAGTGGTTGAAAAATGAAAAAGAGAAAGACTAACAGTGAATACAGATTAATATTTTTGAGAAACTAGATAGTAAAGAACTTTACTAAGCAGAAGTTACTGCAGAGGGACAGATCTGAGGGAGGACGTCTTTTACGGAAGATCAAAGGGATGAAGTTCTTTTAAACTGAAGAGACAGTGCTCAGTTAAGAGGAAGAAGTTAAAAATACAGTAGAAGGAAAAACGGGCAACAAGAAAGCAAAAGGATAGGGTGCACTGCAATATGGACCTCTGAGAAAAGGCTGAGGGTATAGTGTAGTATGATGGCTATACTTAAGACAGGGAGAGGAGGGGTTGGGTTTTCTCTGAACAGGGAGAGGAAGAAGAAGGATGGTAACTGAGGGAGTTCAAGCATGAAGGGTTTTATTTCCTTTAATAAAATGTGCTGCTACATATGGAGGTATAACAGGGTTAGGAAGAGTAATAAAAGAGATGGATGAAGCTTAGAAGTGGTTACATTCTAGAAACAAGGAAAGTGGCACAGAAGTTACAGGGCAATCCCAAGGATCCAGGGGAAATCAGTTGAGGGATAAATAGTGCACATTAGTCTAAGGCTCTATTTTCACAGTAGTCTAAATCTGTGTCATTCATGCCTAATGATTAGCAGTCTGGCTTGAGGTGTAGATGTGGTTCAACAGATGCACTGAGGAAATGTTTTATTCAGAAGATAAGTAAGTAGAGTTTACTGACAAGAGAATAATTGGGCTTAGGGACCTGGGTATATTAGGAAGAAAACAAGGGCAATAAAAAATGAATAAAAGACACTGACACATAAAGAGTCAAAGGAGCATACTTTTTGACTGGATTGAAAAGTGATGCTCCTGTCTAGATTTGTGGGAGGGTGTCCAAAAGGAGAGAGAGAGAGTAATGAAACAATAACATTCTTTATGTTTTGTATTTTAATTTTGCTTAGTCAATATTAGACCTAGATTTTCAACACACACTTAACATAGAAATTTCCCTACATGTATTTTGGCTAAAGAGACTTTAGTAAAATAAGTTTTTTTTTTTTTTTAAAAAAGGAAATTTTTAATTCGAATATGAAATAGCTAAAGGTTTCTCCATACCAAAATGATCTTATCCCCATAAACAATGCATATTAGTACTTCCTTTGAATGCTATATTTTAAGTTTAAAAATTTATTTATGCTTCTAATGTAAAATGACAAAATACTTCCTTTTACCTGCCGCAAAGTACGTGCAACTATGCTTTCTAATACTGGCCCTCTGTCTTCATGCAGCAAATGGACTTCATCAAGAATAAGGAGCTTTACAATTTGAGAGAGAGCAACATCCCCGACACTCTTTCTTGTTACTACATCCCATTTTTCTGGTGTGGTCACAAGCATCTATAACACAAGAAAAGATAGACAGATTAAAATGGAGATTCCATAATTTAAATTTCATTCAAAAGGAAACATTTTTTTTTTGCCATCTGTGTATAGATCAAATAAAAAATATTTAAATTATCCCAGAAGAACATCTAGCTCACAAAAGGTAATAGTCAATTCAACAGGAACATTCCTTGAGGTAATAATTTGAAGCAATTATCTGAAGATGCTACAGACAATTTGTCATTAAAAGGTAGTGAAAATGTACAAATTATTCAATTTTTTAAAAGCATCTAATAATGTAGAAAAAAACTTTTTGTTCGCACACACTGATAATGGTCTTTATTTCAAAGGGGACTAAGAAATAACAGAAGCTTTCTTTAAAAGGAAATCAAAGAAAACCTGAAAACATTCTAAATCTTCTCTTAAGCCTATTCAAATTTGTAAGAGCCGGCTAAACAGCTCAGCAGATCAAAGCACCTGCAAGCAGGCACAGGGGCCAGGGGTTCAATCCCCAGATCCCCAGGCCTGCTATGCCAGCCCCGCCCCCCAGGCTGAGCTGAGACCCCCGTTGAGACTGGGTATGGTGGGGCCCACCTGTAATCCCAGCACTTGGGAAGCTGTAAACAAGAAAATCACTACGAGTCCAATCTAGTAGTGAGACCCTGGACACCTTGTAGACCCTTCCCCAAATTACAAATAAATAAATAAATAAAATTGGAAGTAACTTCTATAGCTATACTTTTTCCAAAAAAAGCTGTCCTTTAATATCAACTTGTACATACCATACTTTAGAATAAAAATTGACGAATTTAATAAACTATAACTGACAAATACAACACCCAAAACAGTAGGTTGCTGGAGATCAGGTTAATCAGAGCAGAAGTAGGCGTACAGCATTTATGTAAACTTCATAAAGACAAACCTGGCATGAAGTTGTGATTATAAATCTACTTACTTTTTGCATAAGAAATTACTTTGATCCTCTAAAATCATACAGGCAGGTAGCAAAAAAGGATGAGAAGTTTGTATCTTCTACTATGCCACTGTTATATGAGGAAATAAACCCATGTGGGGGTGATTTAAAGAAAGCATGGGCATAACAAATAAAATCCAATGCCTCTTTTCACCACTAGGTCAGGAGAAGGGAATTTATGAGAACCAGCAACCCCACTGTGCTCTGCAGGGGTTAGCTAATTGAGGGAGTCAATTAAATCTCCTCAATATTTCAATACTATTACACAATGTTTAAGTTTAATGTTTGAAGGCCATTTTCAATGGTAACAATTTTATTTAGATTGTAAATAGTGAATAAATTTGTAACAAATATACAAGTTATCAGTATGACCTGCTACATTATAAGAGAAATGACTGCTATAATTTTGAAATGAATTTCAATGTTAATTTTAGTAAGTGTAATTCTAAAGCATGTTAATTATAAGAGACCAATGAAAGAGCTAATGCATGTTTACAGTGTGAAGCACTACAAAAAACAAATGACATAGCTATCTTACTAAAGCTAAAATGGCAATGTTGAGATTAGACCAACTTTTACTGAAAACATATGCTACTAAAATTAAGAATAAAGAACAATATAATGAATTCTAAAATGGTATGATATACTTGCTGTACATTAACATCTCCTTTATCATATTACTGTAAATTTAAACTGAAATATTTCAAATGACAGGCCCAAAATGCCCAAGATATAGTGACATAAACACAGAGATAAAATTATGGGCTACTGGACTCTTTTAGAATATTTTGCTGAGTTTACACACCTATAATATTCCACAACGGAACTTAAAAAAATTGGGGTATAACTATGAATGTCCATTTTGTATCTGTGTATTCAAAGTGGTTGGGATAGATATATAGTTGCATTCTCTTAATGAATAGAATGATTTTTTCTAATGGTGTTTGTAAGTAGGATCACAAGTCTGCATCTTGTACAGCAATTAACCACTAAGAAGAATATATGCAGTGTATTATTTGTTGAAACTGTACTTTCGATTTGATTTGAAACTGTCTCATTGCTATATGTTTATCAATAAAACTTTGAAAAGAAAAAAAAAACCACAGAGATCAAATAAGTTACTGACAACCATTTTTATTAAAAGCCCTTGAAAAACATGTTTATCAGTTTTAAAAGGAACAATTTTCCTAAACTGCAAATTAATACATTAAAATATAAAATAAAAGAGGCATTTTAGACTTAGTAAATTATATTGATAGAATTATAAAGTGTACTACTAAATCATAGTAAGTGCAGTTTAACTACCAATCTCACATGATTTAAATCTATACCAGCACTTTATTATCATTCATACATAATTGGTAAGAGCTGAATTATAAGATCAAAATTTTCAAACATCAGAAAGCTATACCACCAAATGCTAAAAATTCTTATTATTAATATTGTTTTTAAATTTATTTATTTATCTATCTATTTGATACAAGATATCAAAGGTCTCACTAGGCAGCTGAGACTCAGTGATCTTCCTGTCTCGGCCTCCCCAGTGCTGGGATTCCAGGTGTGCGCCACAACGCCCTGTTCCAGGTCACAGCATGTGGTACCAGGGATTGAGCTCAGGTTCTTTCACTTGCCAAGCAGGTGCTTACACTGCTGAGTTATCTCCCAAGCCCAACATTTTGTTTTCTGTACCTTTTTTTTAAAACACATTAAGAAATAATTTCATTTATATCATTATTTTACTACTGAAATGGCTAGAAAAGTGTCACATTTGTTTTGTAATTGGAACTCATTCAACCCATTTCCTTCTGCTACTGTATGTGAATTGTCAATACTTTTACTGTTAACTTAAAATGTTTTTCTGTGTAAGAAAAACTCTGTCAGCAATATAAAAATCATTATTCAAAATTGTCCCAATTTTAGCCTGTCCATCAGAAAAGTGGAGATGAAATACAACATAAAAAAATTTTGGTGTATTCAATTTTAAGATGTTTATCAAGTAACAGCAAAACTAAAAGACTTAACGCTTTTAAGAATCACCTTTCTAAGAGCCAGGGAGATGGCTCAGTGAAATAAGCACTTCCCTGGCATGTGCAAGGGCCTAAGTTCAATCCCTGGTTCCGCAAAAAAAAAAAAAGAAAAGAATCACCTTTCTAATTCACTGAAACATAATAAAAATCTTTCCTTACATGTATATATGTACAAAGTTTTGACGGTGTTTCACAACTTCTCAATTATTATGTAAAAGTGCGTCATGTTCTACAGGAGGGGAAGTGAAAAACAACAAAATTTTTTTTTGTTTGTTTTGTTTTTGCGAACCAGGGATTGAACTCAGGCCCTTGCACTTGCCAGGGAAGTGCTTATTCCGCTGAGCCATTTCCCTGGCCCCAACAACAAAATTTTTAATTTGGATTTTCCATGATTATTTGCGTATTCTGACTGGACAGTACTGCAAACCCTTTATCAAAACACCAGAGAGGCAGTGCTCACCAAATGAAGAACCTTGTGCCTAAATCCAAGTACTGATGGACTTATCCCAAGTAGGTGGTTTTCATTTCTGAGCTAAGAACTATGAGATTGCAAACCTTCTTGCCAAAAAAATGCCTGTGAGGGGAATGCATTTGAGTGTGGATTTTACATTCTATTCCTTCCTTTTGCTGACATATTGCAGAATAAACTGATCTAATGCTCCTTCTGAAATGGAAGATGCAAAGACTCAAGATGTAGGAAGGGCCGTTACTGTATCAGCCAGGAGTTATAAGCCGATGATCAGCTCCTGAGTAGACACACAATAGTCCAGGCTTTTGGCATTTGTAAGAAGAAATGTCTAAGAAATTGGTCTCTATATATTTGTATTTGTACTTTTTTACTCTATACATAGTAATTGGACAAAGATGAAAAAAATAATTCATGTTGCAGGACACACCAATAAAGATCTGAGATAATGAAAGAAAGAAACCTGAGTTTTGACAGGAGAAGGAATATAGGCAATGATCAAAAGGGATCATCTTAAGGGAACCGAATTTTTTGATGCCTGAATGTTAAGAGTTATTAGGAATGCAGCTCACAAATCTGTTAAAATTCATTGGGCCAAATAATTACAAACATGTGTTTCATTCTTTGTAAAATGAACCTCAATTTTCTAAAATTTTAGAAAGAAAGGTAGAGACAAGATAGAAATTATGGAGTTCAACTAAAATAAAGGTGGCAAGCAGGAAAACAAAGATTAACTTGATATGACATAATGGTAAAAAATGCTATCAAAGTCATTTACTACAATATTACTATTTCTTTAGAGAAGTTATTTTTTAATGTATTTCATACAGGGTCTACAGAGTTTTACTACACAGATTGGACTTGTAGTGATCTTCCTGTTTTCAGCCTCACAAGCTCTGGGATTACAGGCTTGCACCACCAGGCCCAGTCTTAATCACCATCTCAGTGCACCCTGGGTAGGGGGGCAGTGAGGCATGTCAGGGATCGAACCCAATCCCTGTGTCTGCCTAAGGAGGCACTTTAATTTGCTGAGCTAGCTGGCCGGCCCTTAGAGCTACTTCTATTACTCATAAGTGATAATTAAAAAAACAAAAAACAAAAAACATAAAAGTCAAAAGGATATTGCACTTGTTTCAAATGGAAAGGAATGTAGTTCTACCCTTATATACAATATATAAAACAAATACCAATATTTAAAGACAACAAGCTTTAGGCTGGGGAGATATCTCAGTAGAATAAGCTCCTGCCTGGCAATCGTGAGGTCTTGAGTTTAATACCTGGGACCGCAAAAAATCACTCAATCACTCAATCAAACTTTAAAATTTTATTTATCTCCTAAGTAACTCCATCAATCATTTATTTATTTTAAATATTAAGAATGTAATTGGAAGCAGTCTTTTAAAAAATGAATTTATTGTTTTCATATTTTCAGACCAGGCTTCACATACATTTCTGGCTTCTAGAATTCAAATACATGCAAATACAGAGACAGACAGACAGACACACACACAGACACACACACACACACACACACACACACACTCCTGCC